CATTTTGATGAGCTCTACAACTTTTGTTAGAAGCCGAAGAGTGATTTACTTAGTATAAAAAAAGTTTTAGATAGAAGTGCTATGCATTCGTATTTAGTAAAATTTATATATAAAAAAAAATTTTTTATCCAGGTGACTAGCAGATTGCCTATTGAAAAAAGAAAACTTTTTTTAAAAGAATTTTATATATGTATAAGACATTTTTTAAAGATATTTCAAGAATCACCAAGCCAATTTTGATGCTTTTACACTATTAGGTATATCTTGATGAGCTACTGTATACAACTTTCAATTAATTGACAAGATTAATTGTCTTAGTAAAAAAAAAGTTTTAGATGTAGGCTTACTATATTTGGGTCAATAGTAAATTTTACTTATACAATTTTGCAGATCTTCTCTAGGTGACAAATAGATTATCAATTATACACAATTAAGTTTGAATTATAAATTATTTTAAAAAAATATATTTAACAAAAAACTTAGAATATTAAGATACAAATTTTAAATCTTTTTATTATTATTTACTAGTACTTGAAATTACTGTATCAACAAAGCAACTACTTTGTAGATATTTTACTAAAAAAATTTCTTCATTAATTAATTGTAATTTATATGATACTTTTTTAAAAAATTAATATAAAGCAAAAGTTTTAATTTGTAGACATGAATATTATATAATATGTTATAATGCTATAGAAAAAAGATATAAATATTGTTATGATTATTATAAAACTGGAATTAAGTATTATATAAAGTCTTTTATAACTAAATTAGAAAAAAAGCTAATATATTAACTGAAGATAATATAATATATATTTGTTAATTTATAAATTATTATTAAATATAAATATTAAAAAAAAAGTAATCTATATGCCACTCCGGGTGGCAAATTATTTTGCTACCCAGTAATTGGCCAATCAAATTCGATCACATGCACTTATTTTTTTAATAAAAAAATATTGCACAACGAATAAAAAAAATAATAATAATAAAAATATAATAAAAGCATAACGAATGATGAAATTGTATACCAAATTTATTTATTAAAAAAAGTGACAAAACCATATTACTGAATTTATCGAATTTATTTATAAAAAAAAATACAGTATAATGAAATCGTATCACTGAATTTATTGAATTTATTTATAAAAAAAAAATATATATATATATAGTATAACGAAACTATATTATTACAAATTTACTTATAGTAAAAAATACATCGCACTGCCACAAAAAATTCTTAACAAAAATAAACAAACAGACAATTACAATGAAACGTCAACAGCATAACAACTCCACGACGATGCCACACCAAAAACGACAACTCCAATAACTCCAGTAACGATAGCTCCAATAGCAAAATCATATCTGAAGAAACAAATATATATAAAAAAAAAAACCACCTCAAGAAGAAGAAACGGCGACTCCAATAAATCCAGTAATGATGGCTTCAATGGTAAAATCAAACCCAGAAAAAAGAAAAGCAGCAGTAAATATATAAGAAAAAAAAAACAACACCAAAATGAAAAACTTACCTGAAACCTCCAGTAACAATAGCTCCAATGGCAAAATCAAACCTAAAAGAAAGAGAAGCAGCAATAAATATATATAAAAAAAAAAAAACAACACCAAGATAAAAAACTTACTTGAAACCTCCAGTAACAATGGCTCCAATGGCAAAATCACACTCGGAAAAAAAGAAAAACTGACCTCAAGATGAAAAAAATGGCGATTCCAATAACTCTAGTAATGAAGTCTCTTAAGAGTCAAACAGAAAAGACAAGAGAAACAACAAAAGTTTTTAATTTTCAACACACTCTTTACA